TCTGTGAATGTAAGGGATGCAGTGTGTGTCTGTAAGGGGTGCGTTGAGTGTTTGTAAGAGATGCATTGTGTTTCTGTGTGTGTGTAAGAGAAGCAGTGTGTGTTTGCATGTGTGTGTAAGGGATGCATTGTGTGTTTCTGTGTATATGTGCAAAGGATGCATTGTCTTTATGTGTAAGGGTTGCATTGTGTGTATGTGTGTGTGTGTGTGTGTGTGTGTGTGTGTGTGTGTAATGGATGCATTGTGTATTTCTCTGTGTGTAAGGGAAGCATGCTGTGTTTCTGTGTGTATAGGGATGCATTGTGTGTGTGTGTGTGCGTAGTGTGAAAGAGCTCCCTGTCCTGCCCCCTGTCCTATAGAGCTCTCCCTTCCATCCCGTAGAGATCTCCCCTGCCCCTTAGTGGTCTCTCCTCTCCCCCCATCTCCCTAAGTGGTCTCCTTTTCTCCCCGACTTTCCATTAGTGGTCTCTCGTCTCCCCCTTAGTGGTCTCTGCTCTCCTCTTCCCCCCCTTTCCATTAGTGGTCTCTCCTCTCCCCCCCTCCCTTAGCGGTCTCTCCTCACCCCCCTCCCCTAGTGGTCTCTACACCACCCCCTCCCTTCTTTAGTGGTCTCTCCCTCCTCCATGTTCTCCTCAACCCCCTCTCTGTGTTCTCATCTCCCCCGTGTTCTCCTCTTCTTCTCCCCCCGTGTTCTCCTCTTCTTTCCCCCTCCCTGTGTTCTCCTCTTCTTCCCCTCTCCCTGTGTTCCTCGTCTTCTTTACACTCCTGTGTTCTCCTCTAGCCCCTCTCCCTGTAATCTTCTCCCTCCCCTGTAATTTTCTCTTCTTCTCCCCTTCCCTCCCTGTAATCCTGTTCTTCTCCTCCGTGGTCTTCTCTGCCCCCCCTCCTTTAATCTTCTCTTCTTCTCTCCCTCCTCCCTGTAATCTTCTCCATTCCCCGTAATCTTCTCCCCTCCCTTAATCTTCTCCCCCCTCCTGTAATCTTCTCCCCCCTCCCTGTAATCATCTCCCTCCTTACTCTATGTCTCTCCTCCCTCCCTGTAATCTTCTCCTCCCCTTCCTCCCTGTAATCATCTCCACTCCCCTTCAATCTTTTCCACTCCCCCCCCTCCCTCCCTTTAATCTTCTCCGCTTCCTCCTCCTCCCTTTCATCTTCTCCTCCCCCTCCCTCCCTGTAGTCTTCTCTCCATTCCACCCCGTGTCTTCTCCCCCCCTCCTGTAATCTTCTCCCCCTCCATGGTCTTTACCCCCCCTCCTGTAATCATCTCCCTCACCCCTCCCTATAATCTTCTCCTCCCCCCTCCCTGTGTCTTCTCCACTCCCCTTCCTCCTGTAATCATCTCCTCCCCCCTTCAATCTTTTTCCCTCCCCCTCCTCCTTTAATCTTCTCCCTTCCTCCTCCCTCCCTTTCATCTTCTCCACTCCCCCTCCTCCTTTAATCATCTCCACTCCACTCCCTTTAATCTTTCACTTCCCCCCCTCCTTCAATCTTCCCTCCCCTCCCTTTAATCTTTTCCTCCCCCCTCCTGTAATCTTCTCCCTCCCCCCTCCTCCCATCTTCCTCCATCCCACCTCCCTCCTTTGATCGTCTCCACTCCCCCTCCTTCCAATCTTCTCCATCCCCCCTCCTCCCTTTAATCTTCCTCCTCCCCTCCCTCAATCTTCGCCGCTCCCTCTTCAATCATCCTCCACTCCCCTCCCTCCTTTAATCATCCTCCTCCCCCTCCCACTCCCTTTGTAATCTCCTCCCCCTCCCTCCGCTGTCGCCGCCACTCCCCTTTAATCTTCTCCACTCCCCCCCTCCTCCTCGCCAATCTTTTCCTGCCCCACGGCTCCTCCTGTAATCTTCTCCTGCCCCTGATCTTTTCCCTCCCCTCCCTCCTGTAATCTTTTCCACTCCCCCCACCCTCCATGTAATCTTTCCACTCCCCATCCCCTCCTTGTAATCTTCTCCACTCCCCCCTCCTTTAATCTTCTCCACTCCCCCCTCCCTTCAATCTTTTCCTCCCCCTCCCTCCCTGTAATCTTCTCTCTCCCCCACTTCAGGCCCCCCTCCCTCCCTGTAATCTTCTCCTCACCTCCCCTTTCCTGTAGCGTGGCCGAGCTCCTCTCCGGTCCGCGACCCGGCCGGACTGACAGGAAGTGCACACTCTAGTTGTTTCTATAAAACTGCAATGTTTTACATTGCAGGATTAAGCCGACATGGGCATTGCTCCAAGACCACTTCATGAAGAGATTAAGTGGTCTTGGTGTCTATTGTGCCCCTTTAATTAGCTATTTCTGATGCTGCAATGCACCAAGTTTACCATCATTAGAAAGGCTCAATGAAAATGAATAGTCTATAGTGAAATCTTACACCCAGAAACAGCACTTAATTACCTGCACAGTACTACATGGGTAATTGCAATCACTTTATGAATACCATAGTAATAACAGAGTACCTTCCGACACAGGTATTCAATATATAACAGGACATGGATATTCAATATATAACAGGACACAGGTATTCAATATATAACAGGACACGGATATTCAATATATAACAGGATACGGATATTCAATATATAACAGGACACAGGTATTCAATATATAACAGGACACGGATATTCAATATATAACAGGACACAGGTATTCAATATATAACAGGACACGGATATTCAATATATAACAGGACACAGATATTCAATATATAACAGGACACGGATATTCAATATATAACAGGACACAGATATTCAATATATAACAGGACACGGATATTCAATATATAACAGGACACAGGTATTCAATATATAACAGGACACGGATATTCAATATATAACAGGACACGGGTATTCAATATATAACAGGATACGGATATTCAATATATAACAGGACACAGGTATTCAATGTATAACAGGACACGGATATTCAATATATAACAGGACACGGATATTCAATATATAACAGGATACGGATATTCAATATATAACAGGACACAGGTATTCAATATATAACAGGACACGGATATTCAATATATAACAGGACACAGGTATTCAATATATAACAGGACACGGATATTCAATATATAACAGGACACGGATATTCAATATATCATGTAATATGCATTGTTCTATGTTCAGTATTATTTATTATATTACCCTGATGACGGCCAGTCTAAGCTATATCATTATAACACAGCAGCATCACAATATATATATGGCTGATACATACAAAGGGTTACAGAGCTTGTGATATGCTTAATTTAGTTAAGGCAACCTCATGAAAGATGATGAATGTAATGAAGATGGTAACGAGTAGACTTGTGCATTCAGTTTTGGGCAAACTGCAATTCGTCAAAATTTAGGCCAATTGGCTGTTTGATTTAACTTTTTATCTTCGAAGCACCATACAGACATATAACTGAGCAAATGACTAGTGTGATGGCAGGACACAGTCATTTGATTTAGTATTTGGAGTTTCACCTGTGGCACCTAAAAAAAAAGATGATCAATGGAAATTTATTTATTTCAATTATCAATTATCTCTCTAGAGCTCCCAGGACTGAGTGTCGTCCAGTGCCTGTTGGTGTCTAGAGCAAATTCTCCATTTGGCTCCAGGAGAGAGCGATTCCAGGATCCCTGTCAAGCCACGGCGACTTTGGGCAGAAGTGCTGCGGTTTGTCCCCTGTTCCAGCTAGGAAGCGGTCCTTGGCGGAGGTACCCAGCCAGGGGTACAGGGAGCTCCATTACATGTATGTTGTCATGCAACTATATATATATATATATATATATACACAGTCATGGAAAAATTAAAGTACACCCTCTTTGAATTCTATTTTTACATATCAGGACATATTAACAATCAACTGTTTCTTAGCAGGTTTTAAAATTAGGTAAATACAACCTCAGATGAACAACACATGACAGGTAGGCATATGGGATGGTGGGTGGCAGCTTGGGAAGTCGATGCGCCCTGAAGGAGTCTCTCCCACCTCTCCCCGCAGTGCTACAGATCTCTCCTCATAGGCTGAGAAGCAATTGCTGAGCAATACCGCACCTCTGCCCAAAGGAGGAAAAGCGTGACCCAGGCCATGGATTAGCTTACTTTAATACCGGAGATCCACCGCATCCCCCCCTTCCCCCCCAACCGCCCCCTCTGGAGCATACCCTTTTTATGTTCCCTTCTCTCTTTCTCCCTTGCACGCCTGCTTACCTCCCTTCATGTAGCATGGCCGAGCGGCTCACAGTAGAGGAGCTTCTGTTTCCTCTACCTGGCTTGGCAGCAAGCTGTTAAGTGAGCTCGGCCATGCTACATGAAGTGACCGGCAGGAGGGGAGCAATGTGCACTCTCCTCCTGTCGGTCACCTGAATATTACATCCCCCAAGCTTGTGCCCCAAGGCAGCCACCTGTGCAGCCTTAAGGTAGCACTGGCCTGCACACAGACAGAGTGGCTCAAGTTCAAAGTGCCAAATCGCTCTGTCCTCCCCTGGCTCAGTCCACATTTTGTAAGGTGCAGGTTGGAAAATCCGGGGTGGTTGGGTCAATTATCCCAACTTGCCCCCCCGCCGCGGATGCCCAAGATTAATGTATTTATACAAAACATTGGGATTTTACTTTATGTTAGTGTAGAGGTTAATGATTAGTATGAGAGTAGTGTAGGTTAGAGTTTAGTCTTAGTGTACTGTAGGGAATAATGTTTAGTGTAGTGAGATGTGTTATGGTAATGTAGGCATTAAAGTTTAGTGTAGTGAAGTGTGTAGGGTAGTGTACAGATGCATCATCATTCATGCATAATGGGATTCTAAAACCTGATCTGCCCATTGAACTATATGTATCTATATATCTTTGTAAAAAAGAAAAAAGAAAAACAAAGAAAAAAGAATATATATATATATATATATATATATATATATATATATGTATGTATGTATCGACAGACAAACAAACAGAAAGATGGGCAGGTAGATGGATCATATATAATACAAACACAAAATGAAGATGCCAAAATCTGAGAAACCAGATGTTTTATTTATGTTATTTTGCACTCAAGCAACAACTGTAAGTAAATGTAAGTTAAGTAATAAACCTGTCTGTATTGCCAGTGCATTTTCACAGAAAGCATAATATGCAATACCAAATTACACATCAACAGAGAATACAGCTGTGTTACAAATGACAAAAATCTTGTCACAAACATTTAAGAGCATGAAGCGTATATTATTTATCACCTACCTACAGCTGCAATGATATAGTGTCAGCTACAGATATTTTACATCTCTAATTCCAGCACAACTCCCCTTTTATTTTAGCACTTTCACAGCTAACGGTGGAATCAACACATAGCATTGACGTTAAACCTCGCTTCTGTTTATGCAAGAAAAAGCACACTCATGCAATTTCTAATGTTTCCTCAAAATGGGAAAAAAAGTCTTTCTGGACTCCAGTAGAAGAATACGATTTTCTTTCTGGATCCACAAGCTATTATGATAATAGATATATAATTTCTTTAATTATTCATAAAATTCATTATTATCCAGGTGGAAAGGGGCATTGAGAGGAGCTTATCTTTCCCCCACTAGCTGACATGAAAGGAACTGCCTCCTTCTCTTTACCTGAACTTAAGCCATACACTTATCGTAGAAAGAAAATGGTAAGGAGTTTAGGCAACGACTAACCATGATTACCTTAAAAAATTATTTGCATTGCAAAATACAAAACCATATAAAACGATAGTATTAAGTATTTGTACACATTTTTCAAAATGTTAAGTTCATTGACACTCTACTCACTGTTAGAGTATACACTGTAGAATGAAATCAATGTAACAGATATATAATTTGCCTAGTCTGTAAAAATGACAGCATGCATACTCAAATATATTGACTTATTACCACATTCTGTATTTAGAAACAGCAGAACGTTTACTGTGTATAGTCTACAAAGCCAAATCAATGCAATACAATACATGTAGAGTTAATTACTAAAGTGAGTATTATTAGGAATTCAAGTTAAATTTAAAATCGAATGCCAAAGTTGAGCTGAAAAAACTCAGGTGTGCTTCCTGACTTGGCCTTATATTTAAACTCACTTTGAATTCGTGACAATTCTTATTTTAAGGAATAAACCTGGTTGTGTTTTGAGTAATATTTCTATTTTTAGTCTAGAAATAGGCACAGGCTAAGCTATAAATGCTTAGATATAGGAATCCAAAGTGACAATGAAATACTAACAAACATCCCTAGAATCTTTGTAGACAGAAAACCATAGGTAGATGTCTAAAAACACATACAATTTGTTGTTATAATCATGAGCCAGAAGCCAATGAGAATAAGGTGCCTCAACAGGATGAAATAGTGGATTTTATTTTTGGTAATTATTAGACTTGTGCATGGTAAAAAAAAAATAGGTTCATCTCAATTGATTCATTAAAAAAAATTGTTTCAGTGAAACAGGTTTTGTCTAAAAATAGCTACATACTGGCTAGCCTAATCGCTAAGAAATGTCAGGCGTTTTTGCAATTTTCAGTGCACAAGAAGTGGCACTGAAACACACACACAAGAAATTGAAAAAACAACAACAAATCGGTCAAGTGAATTAAAGTTGGTGTTAATTGCAGTGGCAAGTCACAATAGTAAACTAGCTATCACACCATACTCATACTAGGAGTTACAGCCTACATCATAGGCAGACCGCTTGTCTATTATCCCAAGCTAAGCTGCATATTCCTCCCCCCCCCCCCCTCCCCCCCCCTTCAAATCCATTCCCCTCTAAAAAAATCAGCTTCTTCTCCATTCTATCCTTTTTTCTGGCAACACAAATGGAAATCCAAATCACAAAGCAAGTAAAAGTCAACGACTCATCCATTTACTGCTTGCTTTGTTTTTATGATTTGTCCATATGCTGTTTCAGAGTTGCAAAATTTGAATGAATCACAGATTCTTTAAAATACTAAAGAATGGCAAATCATTTGAAGCCAAATGCACAGGTCTAGTAATTTGTTGATTCTTTCCTCTTTCCTCAAAAATGGCCTGGTTTAATCAAAGCTATACAGGTGCAAGGTGCTAAATATTGACAGACATTCTATAGGTTTCCATGGTGATTGCTCCATATTTAGCACTTTGCCCCAGAATACCTCTTGTTTTTTCCTTGATACATCTCCTTTAAACTGTTAATTGCATGGATCACTGGTACACTCAAATGTCATTGATCAATTATTACAGTTATTGTTGCTTTTATTAGTATGATAGATAGGTAGTAGTAAGATGATAGATGGATAGACTGAAGGACAGACAGACAGAATATGGTATAATTTTTAGGCTACTCTTGAAAGACAGGGGTACTATACATTGTCATGCAGAATGTTACATATATTTCTATCAAAACATACTGGCTGTTGGAATATTATCGAAGACTTTAATGAAACACACATTTGACAGGTCTGTTGAAAAGGAATTATAGTCCTGCAATATGTATTTTTCATAAATGTGCTATTTTAAGTTGACTTTTAATGAGGGTGGCCATCAGAAGGAAACTGATATTTAATTAATCCGGATATAGTAAGGAGAATAGTTTTTTTGTTGCATGGAATCTGATTGGAGCATTTTCTCATAAAATCCTGTGTCCCATCTCCTCTTTCGCTATGAAAAAAAAAAAAAGAAAAAAGAAAATTGTTACATAGAAGCTACTATAACCGAGATGCTTTTAAAATACAAAAAAATGCTTATTCTAACAGTAAAAATTGTGCTTTCACTAATGTTTCACGTTTTCTATTTTAAAAAATACTACAAACCTAATCGTCCAAGTATGTTTCTCTAAGATTAATTAAAAAAAAAAAAACCTTCTCAATGTTTTTGGTCAGATTACTCATAGTTACATAGGCTGAAAAGAGACTTGTGTCCATCGAGTTCAGCCTTCCTCACATATATTTTTGCTGTTGATCCAAAAGAAGGCAAACAAACCAGTTTGATGTTCTATCCAATTTTGCAACAAACTAGGAAACAATTCCTTCTTGACCCCAAAATGGAAGTCAGATATCTCCTTGGATCAAGCAGCTATTACCCCGCTAATTATAAATGATATCCTGCATATTATGTTTTTGCAAGTATTTATCCATTTTCTGTTTCTACTCAAAACCATTCTTAATATATATCATAGATGAGTAGTTCCTAAAATAAAATTCTACAATTCCTGAAGCAGAAGATTCCTAAAGTGCAATAAATATAAAAGCTTCCACTTCTTTTTTTTATTAAGAAAGAAGAGCCTCCCAACGGATTCGAACATATAAGCCATGCATTAATATCTGGACATTATAGATTTATCCAGAATTCTGTTCTATCCTTGTGCCGTGTTATAATAACTATACTATATCAAAGGAGGTCTTGTGAATCAAGGGTAGATTAACATTTAACATTTATTTAGCGTTTTATGTTAATCTGATATTTTTGTATACAGATAATTGTTAACTTTCCCAAACCATTATATGAATGGGTAGTAGCAAAATGGTTTTGAATATGGTTCAACCTGATGGACCTACCGACTGGCCAATCTATAAGAACGCTGAAAGTGCTATTGTAAGTGCTGTGTTTGCTATTTCGAGATACCATAGGGGCCGATACAATGTCATTGACAGACTCTTCAAAGAATGGTAGGTCTACAAACATCATAATTTGGTAGAATAAGTTTTACTTAAATAGATATTTTCATAACACAACCATTTCTTCAACTGGACTTTGATACTGATGAAAATTTTTGCTTATATGAGGATAGCAAAAAAATAGTTAAAAAAAAATTATTTTGGAGTGGCTATTTATTCAGCATGGCCCATGATACATGATACTTTGTTTAGAATAATACAAAGGTTTCTTTTGAAAGGGGTTCATTACATACTGCTTCACCATGGTGGTTTAGAGACAATGTATCTGCCTTCTTCTAATCGTCTATTTAGTCCTATAATAGCCTATCATGCATGATAAATAAAATAGCAGCACAGAGGGTGAAGAAAATTTTTTTTTAATTTGTCCAGTTCCTTTCAAGATACTTAGATGTGTCATTTTCCTTGATACATAATGGAGTTTGAGTTACTGTTCAATGAATGTAGAAGGGTACCACAGTTCTAAAAGCTAGATTGCAGTAGACATGTGAGGATATGACAATTAAATTGCAGTCCTTCAATAGCTTATACCATGTAAAGGCAACACACTGCTAATGTAACATACCTTGCTAAACAGCAGGATGCAGGTGACAATGATGCTGTAGAGAAATATAACTGCACAAATCACAGCAAGCGTCCATTCAAACATGATAGGCTCCTGTGGATCTGAGGTCTGTGCGCATTCTGAAATTAAGTCTGATAAAATACAAAACGAAAATAAATGATTGGATTCCTCTATATCTAGTCTTAATGCAGAATCTCAGATACGGCGATTATACTTACCGTTTAATAGACTCCGATAAGGACATGGGATTTTATTTAAAATATAAAACTGTTTATATTAGCATATATGGTGGATATTTGCTTTTTCCCTGTGCCATAGAATTGATAACTTCTAATAAACGTAATCAACATGTGAACGTGTTTGGGAAATATTTCCACCCTTAGAAAAAATCATATTCTTTAAAAAAAGTGAATAATAGAACTAATTTATGATTTAATTTAGTGGCATGATAAATAGATAGATAGATAGCTAGATAGATAGATAAATAGATAGATAAATAGATAGATAAATAGATAGATAGATAGATAGATAAATAGATAGATAGATAGATAGATAGATAGATAGATAGATAGATAGATAGATAGATTGATTTATATATATATATATATATATATATATATATATATATATGTATATTAAAACAGATTACCTGCATTTACTTAAATACTCTAATGTATAAAAAAAATCTTATCTATGTTTTTAAAACTTTTGCTCAGCAGCAGGTTATACTGAGAAGACAACTTATGATACGGAGAGGATAACATGTAATATGACTTTGGGACAAACATTATAGTTTTATAGACTGTGGCCAACAGCTTTATCTGCTATAAAGACATCATTGACTACAAACTATCCTGAAGACTGGAGGCTCGCTCATCCTTTATATTTGATCATAGATCATATTTTGCATATTTTAACATTTAGTCTATGAGGAAATTTCTTCCTCACTCTTGCAAATTCAATTTTCTTACATCGTGGGTTCAGGAAATACAATTGAATGATACATTTTTTTACCTAATGAAAGGGGAATTCCCCCAAACTCTCTGCTTGAGCTATTGTCAATATATAAAACAAAACACTGTTTTGTTTCAGCCAGTTTCTTATATTTCGCAAAACAATTAGACTGAAGTAATTTTAGTATACATAAGACGACATAGAGAAAGGTCTCACCACTGACATAGACGAATGTCGCGTTGCCCTCTCTGATTAGGTAGGGAGGTGGGTACATGACTTCCAGTCTGCAGATGTACGTGCCAGTGTCCTCCGTCTGAAGCCCTGACATATGCAGAGTCACATTTTTGGGACCAGGAAATCCTTCACACTGAATGTCATTGCCCACTGTGACTGGTTTATAGTTGGTCGTGTATGAAAAAGTACAAATCTCTGTAGTTTGGTTAATTGACTTCTTCAGCAAGCTGAATCGCATTTCTGTCACCTCACCGTGAGTTTTATAGCCACAGACCATCGTGGCCTTTCCATGCCTGTTGGACACAACAACTGCTGGCTGGGTCACCTTCAGGCCTTTGAAAAATAAAAAAACAGTCATTTAACCATAATGCTCTGACACCACTTGCTAAATTAAACATTATGGAAGAATACACACAGGGTTATTCACCAAAGTGAGAATTCAAATAGAACTTAAATTTTAAGTCCAAAGCAGTCGAACCGGAAGTATAGCTGACTCAGAGAACAAATCCACATCAGCTATTTCAAGCTTAAGTTTGAAATTCACTTTAAATTTTATTTGGGTTTCATTTAGGGAATATCCCTGTTAGTGCAGTTCACAAACTTTCATTCTCTGTTCAGGTTTGATTTTCATTACAAAGACAGGCTGGACTGACAGACAGATAGATATATATTGATATGATTTATATACTTTTTTCAATTAATACCAAATTTAAAATGAAATCATTATCTATAAAATCCAAAGGTTAGTTCTACTAATCATCGCATTATAAACATTCTTCATTAGCTCCTCTCCCTGCCAACAAGCATCTGTTTAAACTACAGAAGCTCAGTGTGAATATATGGGCATCAATGTATGCACTAAACTTTAGCAAATTAAATTCTAAAGGAAAAAATTAAAGCTAAAATAAGCATTTTGGAACGATTCTCCGACTTAACTGGTATTTTTCCATTTAGATTTAATTTGCTAAAATTCTAAGTTTAGTGAATAATCATCATTACAATGCAATCAATTATACCATGAAAATAGGTAAAATAATAATAATAATAATAATAATAATAATAATAATAATAATAGTCATGATCTGTCTATCTGTCAATTAAACAGATTTTCAGCTCTCTAAAATGTTCAGAATTATAGACATTCTATATACATAATTATAAACATTCTATATACAGTTAAACTATGAAACATATATTAAGCATGTAAAAATATAATATGAATAGAGAGAAACCAATTAAACACTACTTATTACTACACACTCTGTTTTACACCTACCTCTCGAGACATTCATACAAAAGATTCCAACGATGATCAATATTCTCAACATTCTGTTTCACCTGTGAAAGCTCTATAAGTATTCTGTCTTAATAATCTGCAGCAATATATGCCCTTTTGTCTTTTTCACTATTGATGTTGTGTGAGCCTGAAGTCTGTCAAAGTGCTCACAATTACCCAAGTGCTGCTAGGTAACCTTTGAGGATATGCCTTTGACATGTTTCAGGTCATACAAACAATGGTATATATAACCTCGGATTCACACACTCAAACCTAAGAGACTGAAGACTTGTGTTTTGGGCTTACAAGAAAGGATGTGGTGGGTCGGAATAGTTACGCATAACACGTACCACATGAAAGATTCATAACACATGCGTGACCAAATCAGAGAGTGGAAAAATAAAGTTAATTTCTCATCACATTTCATTTGCCTATATTATTCTAGGAACCCGATATCACAAAACAATATCACAAAATAAAGAGTTAAGACATCAATCAGTGGCCTGTTTTTTTTTTCTAAATTAAAACATTTTTTGTTAACTCCTAAAATGGAAATATTTTACCAAAATCCAGTTCGCCGCAACCTTATATTAATTTATTATGATGAAACAAAGTGCACTGAATCTGTAATATGCTAATAATCTGAGCGATCTGTGCACTGCAAATATATATATATATATACACACACACAGGTTTTATTTTTTTTACAAAATTAGATAAACATAGGGGCTACTGGAGCACCAGCTTCAGGCCCATGTTTTGACATATGTCCAAATGTAATTTTTTTTTCTTTTATTTATTATGAAATAGAATGTTGCTGTTATAGTGGTGTTCCCTTTGCCATGTATTATAGTCAGGGTTATTCACTACAGTGAGACTTCAATGTGTATTTCAAATTTAAGGTCAAAGTATTCGAAATGGAAGCATAGCTGACTTAGATCATTTTTTGGCTTAGCTATTTTGACCTTAAATTTGAAATTCACTTTATTGAATAACTCTGCCTGTATTTTTTATTTATAAATAGCTTCCCGGAAATCAACCTATAATGTGCATGGAGGCCAGGTTTCATGTTGTGTGTTCAGACTCAAAGCTATATATGCGACTTTGCAATCCCACAGGAGGGAAAATCCAGACGTTGTGCAGACTAGCAATAGGTCTGCTATATGTCACACATTTAGTCCATTAATACCATGACAATGGAAATATAACATTTAATTTCTCCATTAGGCTCACCAAACCTTTCACCACCAGGTTCATGAAGTCCTAAATTTGGTACAGGGTGAATAAACTAATAAAACAGACCCTATTCGTATAGATATAACCGTTGAGTGCAAAGTTTAACAGAAAGTTGTAGAACTGAAACCTGCTTTGTGAGCTTGAAAGACAAGTGGTAAATTCTGAGATAAATTGCACGAGCCAAATTAACGGTTAATATGCATGTTTGCAGGATTGCTTCATTTGCAGTAACACCTCACTTGTCCTGCAATGCTCTTGCATTAGATGCTCTTTCGGGACAGCAGATGCACGTGGGCAGGCAAAAACTATTTTGTGCATTTGATGTATTTTGATTTTAGCAGTAGATAAGGCAGATTTTGCAGGATTATTGCATTTAATTCTAAAGAAATAAAAATCTCCCAGTGACCGTACGTTTGTAGTTTGCTGCTGTTATCAGAAAATATACCAAATGTATGTGGACACCCCTAATAACTCATGTGATTGGGTGTTTCACTGGCACCCATTGTTAACAGCTGCATACAATCCAGTAAAGTAACTTGGTCAACTGTAAGTGCTTTAATTGTGAAGTGGAAGTATATAGGTGCCACAACATGAAGTGGTAGACCATGCATAAACATGTGGTGGGCGTGTCCAACCATGGCACCATTATGGACAGACACACAAACACTAATACACAAAGTATCAGGAGTTACCCTATCACAAGTCCCAGAAAATTACCTCTTACAATATATGCCAACCCATTTTACAAAAACTGAGCGATACCTGATATAGCATATTACTTCAGCAGTACTTCTAACCATTAGCAGGCATTGGTTGAAACAGGCCTCCTCACATATACACGAATGCATATCACAAATAGAAAACACAAAAAAATATGAAACAATGGCCAGATCACTTAGGCCTCCAATGAAGTTCTGGGTAGTAGCATGGGAGAAATGGAACCAGTATATAGGCTTACATCCACAGACTCTAGACCCTTCAGGCAATTCAGGCAACATAACAAGACATGACGATGCCAAACCACCTCAAGACAACATTAGCAAATAAAAACTGAATTAAAAAATTAGGCTTTTGTTATCATACAACACAAAAAGCAAGATGAGTTCCTCAGGACAACCCCTTCCCCCCCAGTTTAACCCCACAGTTGAAACTACCCAGGTTTTGCAACCATCGCGGGTACACACTATGATAAAGATAAGACCTAACGTACAGGCGAGCTGGAGTACTTCGAGAGCGACTGAGTCAAATAAGAGCAGGGAACTCACGCACGTAGAAGATAGCACATCAGGGGAACACACAAGAGATAAACCCTATTGCTGCAAAACGAAGAGATAACTAAACACCTAGGGAACCTGCAATGCCAGTATGTGAAAAGCCTTGATATATTGCTACATTCCTCTACACTGTACTGCTTAATACTGTAACGCCCCAACTCATGATGTTCTATAAGGGAGGTACCTACGTGAATGCCTGATACCCAGTATGTCTTGTACCATGGAATGTTATATTATCTTGGATTCAAATGTGACGGACGGACTAATATCTGTGATGGTATGCGGCTGAATTTATATATTTGACTTGATACGTTTGATGTGACATGTGCATTGGATACAGGTAACCTGTAACACAATGGAAAACCTTGAAAAAAAAAATGGTGTTGTGTAATTTGTTGGTTTGGCAGGGTTAACGGAGGATGGTATATGGAGGAGTCAGCAATCATGCCCAGAAGGGATCCAGATCTCAGAACATGGAGAAAATGGTCAAACGAAGGTTGGTCAAGATAAATATTATCTGAAGGACCATTTTTCAGATTTCAAATGTAATGACCATGCATTAATAAACAGTGATCATTGTTACAGAGTATTTGACATACCATAAACCTTTGAAAATGCTGTAAATTCATCTCAGTCACAATGTTGGCTTAATGCTACGAAAGAAGAAATGAATGCACTATAAGAAAAGTACACATTCACCTTAAACACTGTACTAGAAGGTACATTTTCAGTGGGAGGTTGATGGTATGGTATGGTATGCAATAAAGAACAAAACTGATGGTTTAGAAACTTATAGGGCCATATATGTTACTAAAGGTTAGAATCGAGTAAAGGGAGTTGGCTACAAAGAATTGTTCTCTCCAACACCAAAGATCACATCAGTACGAATCCTAATGCAAATAGCAGCGCATTATGACCTAAGGATGTGAAAACAGCCTATTAACATGCTCCAATTGATTGTGAAATATATGTAGAACAGTCAGTTTTGAGGTCAAGTTCAAGCAATGTGAATGGCAAGTTCTTAAGGTGAGCAGGTCATTATCTACATCTACTTTGAACACAGTGCTGTCTAATAAAGATGAACCAAAAATATACATATTGAAAATCCTGGAGATGTTTGGCATGTCAGATTGTAATCCCAGAACAACTATTCAGATTAAATCATGCAGGGGTTATTCCATACATGAACAGCCTGTAGATACCCTGAGCCCCTGACGAAGGTGCATCACAGCACCGAAACGCGCGTCGGGTTGAAGGAGGTTTTTCTCCTTCACTTTCACTCACTTTTTATTTTCACTTCTAGGGCACTATTTCACGATGTGTAGGTAACCAGCATTCTAAGCATGGTTCTACACATTAGCACTATTATTTCCTAATTTTTCACCTTTTCCTCCTGTCACTCCTGATATGCTATCTAGATTGGAATTATCTATTTGATTGAGGAATCTGGACTGGCTCTGTATGTATTTGAGGGGGCAACAGATACTCTTT